ATATTCATTGCATGAGAATAACATGTTTGGAAGAATCATATTTAAGTGCTTCTTTGACCTTGTATAGTGACCTTTGTGCGCCCTGTTTCGTGGTGGTTAAAATATGTTTCATGAAGTGTTTATGAGAACTTCTGCATTTACTTCCGAGAAAATTGATTGAGTTTGCTTTCTAATTTCAGTTCATGAGATTGTGGAGTCATGAATCTTGCTCTTTGAAGAGGAAAACACAGAGTGGACAATTTATTTGCTAACAAAGGATGGATTCAGGGAAGTGTACATCTAGAAATGGCGCTACGTTATCAAGTATGGCACCTACAAGTTTCCTGAACAGGGTATACACAAAATCTCAATTTGAAGAAGAAGCGAGATTTGCTGAACATACCCTAATGAAGGATGTAAATATTGACCTTAGAGAAGTTTATTTTCTGATTATGCATTTTTTGTCATCTGGGCCATGCCGAAAAACGCTTGGGATACTCCATGATGAACTTTTGGAATATGAGCTTCTACCTAGGAGATATCATGCTTGGTATTCAAGAAAAGATGTACGTAGTGGAGATGAAGATGACAATGGTGTTTCTTTCCCTCTAAATTATGAAGATCTGGTGCTAAGGTGTGACTCGTAAAAATATTTTTATTTGTTTGTACACAAGATGTGATCTAGGGAATAGTTGCTTCCAGTTGAATTCTCCCTGGATACATCTATTCAATTCTTTTAATGAATTTATTTCAAATATATAATGATTGAATTGTGGTAAAGAATTTCAACCTATTCTGATTAAGTCCTATAGATTTTTAAACTTTCTTTTTACAAATCAATTATGAGCTACTTTTCTATGATACTATATATTGCTTTCACAGTAGATCTTTTGCTTACATAGAGATGAATTCTTCATACTTAGTGACGCTTTCAAAATGATTATAATGTTGCGTGCTTGGTCCTTAGGAAAGTTGACCTGGTTAACATGCCACAAATCTATCTGTTTCTGCTTATTTTCTTGCAAAGGTAAATAATTTTATTATAAGTAGGGGAAACCCTGTATTATCCATCTTTTTCTGCTTAAACATTTAATTCACATTCCTGATCTTTTGTCATTTAAACCTTTAGTTTGCTGATGATAGGTATCCTCATGTTGAAAAGGATCACTTAGTAAAGTTGCTTAAACAGCTGCTGCTGAGTTTGGGTCCTCCATTGCAATGTAGTGGGGGAGATGCCCCAGGTGCTGCTGATGTCCCCACGCTACTTGGATCTGGGCCTTTTTCTCTTTTGGCTTGTAAGTAATTTTGTGATGGTTTAAGATCTAATAAATATTCTTTTGTAAAACGACCTACACATGTCTCAATTTTCTCTTTTTCACTATCAATTTTTTTGGTTTAAACAGACTCCTTTTCATCCTTAATTAATTTCTCTACTCTCCTCTTGGGCATGTGCCGTGTATATGTCCACCCTTTCTGAAATATAAACCTCTTCCCTGCACTATCCAACATTTCTTCAGATTCATGTCACTGGATAGTGAACCTTTATAATAGCAGGAGTCCAAGCATATTACAAGATTAACTTTATCTCTCTACTCTTGGACTGACATACACTATCACTTCAACTATAGCTTCGGTACTCATTTTGGCCAATAGAGGATAAGCCAGAAGAAGAATACCACAATTTGCTGAGTAGAATTTTGAGGGTTGTATTGCATTTGAATTTGTGTGTTTCTTTGGCTTTATAAGGTGTCTCACTCTAAAGCAGCTTATAGGTGCTTTCTTCTTATTAAAAAAAATTCTTTTGGCAAGTATTCTGCATCTTTGATTGTGAACGATGTACTATCATCAATTTGTTTTGGTGAGCTAAGTTATCCAGGAAAGCTTTCCAAACTACTATTTCTTCAAAAACTAGCTTTATCATTTGCACTGTGATCTTATATGTACATTGTTCCTCTCCCTTTTCTGCTCTCTCTCTTAAATAGCATGATATTTATGTTCTGTTGACAGTCTAGGTTTTTCTGTTTATATAAGTTTTAATATGTGATGGACAGGTGAGAGAAACAGAGTAGATAAGCAGGCTCAATCCCTTCCTTCATACCTCCGTTGGCCACACATGCAGGCTAATCAGGTGCATGGTCTAAGTTTGAGAGAGATTGGAGGTGGTTTCCCAAAACATCACCGTGCTCCATCTATTCGTCTTGCAAGTTATGCTATTGCAAAGCCGTCAACTATGGTTCAGAAGATGCAAACCATAAAGAAACTAAGGGGACATAGGGATGCTGTTTATTGTGGTATGAGTTTAAAACTTTTCTAGTTTGCTTCTTTCTGCATCTAGACAATTAAATGTTTTTACTCAAATGGGTTTTCATTCTGGGCACGTCATTTATGCTCAATATAACACACAACTTCATCTGCTATACGGGAAATTCCAAAAATTGAATGCTACTAGTAGTTTTAAAGATAGCTGTTGTTTTTCTATTGTAGAGACATTTAGCAGTCTTTAAGGCTTATCATATTAGAGATATAATGGTTGTCAGTCAAAATGACATGCGAACCTTCAGCTCAATTTCTCTGCCTTTTTTCTGTATCGTCTAGCAATATTTGACCGCTCAGGAAGATATGTGATTACTGGATCTGATGATCGCCTTGTCAAGATTTGGTCAATGGAAACTGGATTTTGTCTGGCTAGTTGCCGAGGACATGAAGTAAGTTCACGGAAGTGTCAACTTCAGTTCTTCCTTATGAAATGCGTTTTTGCCTTTTTCCACTTATTTGCTTGTCATTCTATTAGGGTGACATCACTGATTTAGCTGTCAGTTCAAACAATGCTTTAGTGGCGTCTGCGTCAAATGACTACAGCATTCGAGTTGTAAGATTCTCCTCCCACTTGACAGACATCTTCTTGCTTTCTTTGAAGATTAATAATTTTGGGCAAGAAGATCTTCTGTTGAAGAGTGAGCGGCTTATCTACTTTCTCTGTACTTCAGTGGCGTTTGCCAGATGGGTTACCTATTTCAGTTTTGCGTGGGCACACTGGAGCTGTCACTGCTATTGCATTTACTCCAAGGCCTAGCTCTGTGTATCAGCTTCTATCGTAAGCCATCCTTATTGTTGCTCCTTCTCTTTGAAGAGACATGATGCATTATTATGCGTAAGAGATCTAGCCCTATTTGATTAAACCAAACAGAGTAACTGTGACTTATGGAAATAACAAATATGCAAATTTCTTGAAACTGGTAACTTTTCTGTATTTCGTATGTAGCAAAACAGTACGTAGGTAGTACTGAAACCATATATACAAGAGACTCTAACTATCACTGACACTCTCTATATTGAATCTAAAATATCAATAATGGTGTCGGTATCATTTGTGTAGGTCTGATTACACCAAAAACACAACAGCAAAATAAAGTTTAACTTGATCTTCTGCACTCCATTCTCCACATTCTCAAAACATCTGGAGTTTCTCTCTTTCCAAATTGTCCACCAAATGCAATGTATAATTCTCCATCTGGTCCTGTCCTTTGCCTGTAGTCCTGTTTCCTCCCAACTTTTAAGAGTATCTATAAACTTCCCAGGCATGGTCCAGGAAATGCCTTTGAGGTTAAGAATAATTCTCCATAGATGAGATGTTATCTTACAGTGAAGGAAGAGATGGTTAACTGTCTCTGCTGTTTCCCCACACAAAAAGCATCTAGAACACAAATATGCAAATTTCTGAATTTGGAAATTGTTGGAGTATCTTTTTTTTTTCCTGAGACACGAGGGGTGCATGGGTGATCTGGTCTTCTATCTTTCTATTTTTACAACTAATATTTCAACTTAAAAATCAACTTCATTATATGCATCAATCTCACCATTTTTATCTCCTATTTTGCTAGTTTTGTTAGTCCAACAATTAGTGACAATGCATCTGTAAATTTTATTATAGCAAATTGTTTGATACCAAACACAAACTGACTTGAAGTAGAAAAAGTAAAAAGAATAGCACACTGTTGAAGAGAGAAATATAAACAGCTTTGTTTCTTTCTCTTCATTGGCTCCAAATTTTCATGCCCAAAGGTTCAAAAAAAGCTATAGCTCACTGGTTTTCCAGATTTTGGCATTTGATTTCTCTGATATATCAATTATATACTGCGGCATTGCACACTGTCTAGATGGTTTCAGCAACCAAATTGCTGTGTTAAAAGTTTTTATAGCTTCATCCTAATCATCATTAGAATTAGAATACTACGTCTTAACTGAAGTCGATTCATCACCCAGTGATCCTTACCTTCTAGAAAATCATTCCTCATGTTTTTTTATTTTTATTTTTGATGAGGTAAGATTTATTGTCTAAGCCTTGGTGAATAGAGTTACCAGGTACTTGTGCTGGTGGGAGGTAGTAGGTACCCGTTGGAATAGTCGAGGTGTGCGCAAGCTGGCGCGGACACCATCATCATGAGAAAAATAATCTTTTCAAGCGTTCTTCTGTGAAATCTCTACATTGGATCAAATTGGATATCTATTTTATAAGGAGGGAGTAATATGATAGAAGAAACTAACATGATAGCAGAAGAAATGGAAGAAATATTTGTGGACTAGTCCATCACTGTAATTAAGTAAGCGCTGAGTGCCTACAGTACGCTAGTAAGATTAAGACTCAACTTATTGTTCTTTTTCTTGATTAGTTTTAATTCTTTCGTTGTTTCTCCTAGTTTTAAGGGATTTTATGAAGTTCAAATTTTATTGATGTGATGGGAAATCCCACTTTTTAGGCCTGCACAAAAGGTACTTCTACATAATGTAACAAAGCATGACTGTATAAATTCATCTGGTCATCAACAATAACTCATGAAAAAACATCAACAATAACTGGAATATCAAAATCACTCAAAGAATTCACAGAATAAAAATGTTCCACTAATTAATTCAAAAGACTATTCTACTCCTTCAGATGCGCTCCTATTTCTCTCTTGCCACATTGTCCACGTAAACTCTAAAGGAGCTACTTTATCTTTACTTATCAAAAAGGCTCTAAAGGATCGCATGCTCTCCTTGTCCTTCTCTCCCTTCTCTTATTCCATCCTATAAGCACCTCTCATGTGCATCCCCTGTTCCACTCTGAACATGCTCCGCACCAAGGTCCTGTATTCGTTGCTTTATTTCCTCTTTTATCCATGTGGCATTGTATATTCATAATTATAGAGACTCATCTGAAGGTTTCAGTTGACCTCAGACAGCCCTCAAATATACACAAAATTTGTTTTTGTCTGTACGGCAACTCTATACTAAGCTGTTTGGTTCTCATAATGTAGGAATTTTTACATCACAATATGTTGTTTTAAGAAACTCTTGAACATATGTGTCTAGTTGTGTGCCAGGTAGTGCATGCTTTTGTATTTATGTTAAAGCAACAGATAACATGTAATTTTTCTTATTATTTATTTTTAAATTCCTCTACAAAACTTCCTTTGAGTTAGAGGACTACTGAAAGCATTAGATGGAAGATATGGGAGCCTTAGACTAAGCTACAATTCTGTAAAGATGGTTAACACACAAGAAAGCTAGTAAAGATTTTACAGTAGGCTATACAATCGACAGAGAAATCACTTTAATCTGTATTCATCTCTATTAAAGTTTCTTGTTAAGTAACATGGGGTTTAGGATGACTTACTTCATGGATGTGTGAGTTACTTCTCTTGTGTTTTTGTTTCCTATCGGTAGGTCATCAGATGACGGAACTTGTCGCATTTGGGATGCTAGGTATTCCCAATGTGTTCCACGCGTTTACTCGCCAAGGCCAAAGGATAACGTTTCTGGTTAGCTGAGAACAAGTTATTTGTCTGATAATGTTTGGTGTAGTTGGTTAGCAAGCTTGTTAATGGATTTTTGTTTTATGCAGTGAAGAGCAGTGCTCCCGCACTAACCAACATTCAGTCCTCAAGTAATACATCACATAACCATCAAATTTTGTGTTGTGCATACAATGCCAATGGAACTGTCTTTGTCACTGGCAGCTCTGATACTTTAGCGAGGGTATGAACAAGCATCAAATGTTATGCTCTACTATAACCCTGTCAAATCTCCATTATTAAGTTAAACAGGGTTATGAGAAATTTTCGTTATTAGTCAATAAGCTCTTAGTGTAGTTTACCTTTTCTTTTGATAAGATAATATTTTGTTAATCTCTTAGTATAGTTACCTGACAGATATAATAGATCTTCTGAGCTTTCTTTATCAAAGTCCTCTAATTAATGTCTGACCTAGGTACTAGTATTATTTAACCTATTTATGTCAAAACCCATGTTTGAGTGGTTGTTACCTGGCAATATGAAACTTTTGCTAACACTTAAACATAGAGTTTACCGTGTGAAGTATGCAAGAAATGTTAAGAATGTGAACGATGTGAAAGTTTTTGGTGTACTCAGACTTATTTTCGTTGTTTTTCTATTACTGGGATGATGATATTGTATGGATTCACGAAAATGATTCGTCGTCAGGTCTGGAGTGCTTGTAAATTCTCCCCAGATCGCCCCGAGGAACTAAATCATGAAATAGATACATTATCTGGTCATGAAAATGATGTCAACTATGTACAGTTCAGGTTGGTGCAGCCATGTTGTCTCCCTTAAAAATGTCATCACTATCTTACTTGCAATTCTTTTATGCAGTGGCTGTGCAGTTGCTTCACGATCTTCAACTTCTGATTCATTTGTGGAGGACTACATTCCAAAATTTAGGAACTCTTGGTTTGTGAACGTCTTTTTCCACTGTTCAAATGATCTCAATGTTCCTAATATCCTTTTTATCAGCTATAGTTAACTCATGGTTAAACATAAAATAGAGTTTGGTCTGTCAAATTGACTGATGGGAGAAGTTGCATTGATTTGTGTAATTGTGTTTGTTAAAACTCAATTCTTCAGGTTTAGCCATGACAATATAGTCACTTGTTCTCGGGATGGAAGTGCAATTATTTGGACCACTAAACCACGCAAGTCATCCCATGTGAGTTCTTGGCTGCATCAATTTGATTTCTTTCTTGGAATAAGTTGAGATAATTGGTGTTCAACTTCTAGATTTCTTGTGGATTTTGTTTATGAAAAATAAGAGAAAGAATACAGGTCTAAAATTATGCATGTATTCTTTTGTAGGCATACTACAGAATGTATGCAGTACTTAACCCGATGTGTGGGACTAATATACACATCATTACATCTGTAAATTGGGACTAAGTCTAACTGCCCTAGTGTATCATCATTAAGTGTACATATTTCTCTGTGCTGGTGCTTTCTGACTATTAATATTCTAATCCTTTCAGGGAAAACTTGGACGTTCTTGGGGTAAGGCATATCATCTTAAAGTTCCTCCCCCACCAATGCCGCCACAGCCTCCTCGAGGAGGGCCACGGCAGAGATTTCGCCCTACTCCTCGTGGTGTTAACATGATAGTATGGAGCCTGGATAATCGCTTTGNTTAGTTAAAGTTATTGAACTAAAACCAATAACACTTAGTTCTTTATAGACACCTAATATTTTATTCATAAGATATCTCACATAATAGAAAAGCATAATATAACTATGTATATATATGACATAAATCCAAATATCAAATCAATTACCCAATCAATTTATACTTCTCGGTCATGGAATGTAGTCAAAGTACCCAAGGTAAATTGACCAAATCTGGTGTGGATCCACACCTTTCGTGTCGACACGGGTGTGGCAAGGATTTTGAAGAGTCCGAACAACATAGAATTCAAAACTATTTTAAATATGATTATGGGATGAAAATTCATTTCTTTCCTATTAAAGTTTGGTGTTTGTGAATTGAAGCATCTAGTTGTTGACCCGTTATACCGTATACAAAGTTGATTCTCAACAGGCATGAATGCACATTCACAAGCTTGTTAGTAGGAGTATGTCGTGACACTAACGAGCAATGCATGTTGATAATGAGTAAATAGATGACTTTTTTAATGTTATAATGGACCCAAATCATATCAGGAATTCAGAATGATACTGACAGGTATGTTGGAGCTATGGATACTTTATTACTTTCCATTGGTTACTGATTTATTGTCGCCTTTAATAATTCAATCTTGCTCTACTGCTGTAGAGCACCCACCAATTTTTGCCCTTGTTTCACACACGTTATCAGACATCTAGTTCTAGCAAGTATGGAGTAGATACTGTGTGACGTTCAACTTCATGTTAAATCGTTATTTCTGGTTTGCATCAAGGGATGTCTGTTGGAATAGGTAATAGCCAGTTGGAAATTTTTGGTTGACAAATATTTTATTGAAGTTGCATTTGAGGTATTTTCAAGATTTTAAACATTGGAAACCGATATCAAGTTGATACTATTATAGGACATGTTGGTGCCTGGCATGGGCTTAAGTTTGCACCCATCAGATTAATGCAGGCATAAGAAGCTTTTGGAAAAAAATGCTGGGATAGGAAACTCATTTCTTTCAGCAAGTAGATGAATGTGTGAGCTGAGAATAATCGAGGTGCATTATGGAGGATAATTCCTCATGGTCTTTTAAGTATAGCGCGGTACTAAGACGGCTGCAAAGTAATAGAATGACTTCCTAGTAAATTTGTCATGATTAAAGGAGCTGCGAACCATGTCTCTTAAGAATTCTCTGAGAGTCGTGTCCGGTCATATCCGAAATGGGTTTTGTGCTATATATGTGCAACTAGTGATGTAAATAAGAACTGAGTAGCGATGTAGAATCTTTGCTAGATGATGTGTTAGAAAGGTTACTGATGTGAGAGCGGAAATATCTTGTAAATATTCAAGCACATTTTGTGCTACATATATATTACTTACCCTTTCTCAAAACAACTAGTCAACTCCTGAGAAACTGGACTCTTAGAAGTGCGACTCTTTGCCTAAGCACCTGCAAGGCTAGCAAAACAAAATTGATACGTATTCGTCGAGAGTCAAATTTAAATTTCGTAGAAATTGAAATCAAGGTCTTCTTGGTTCCTGTTAGAAAGAAAAGCTCCTCCATTTGGGTTGTTGATTCATATTATGCTCATATTTCAAAGCAGAAGATTTCTGGTGCTTGAATTTGTAATTTTCGATCATAAGGTGAACTTATGCAGATTGCCGAATTTGCGTTTGGAATGCTATTGATGGTAGCTTGGTGCACTCCTTGACTGGTCACACGCAGTCTGTAAGTTATTTTTGACTATGATTAAGCTGATATTTCTGAATTCTGCTTAGGTTTTTATTACATTTTCCTGTGTCATCTTGAGTATACATTTTTGAGAAACTTTCACTTTAGCTCCATGTAGCAGCATGTGTTCACTGGTTACTTTTTTCTCTGCTTGCGTCCACCATTGTCTAATTTCTTGGTTGGGTAGTGTAGAAGAGTCATGCAATTCTTTATGGCGGTTTATTTCACTTTCTTGGTTGTAATAAACTTTAAATAAATATGTTGTTCACCCAACTCTGGAACGAATTCCTGATACGGTTCCTCAACCCCTACGCCCCACCCACACCCATTAAAAAAGCTCTATCTGGTGTAATTAATGCTAACTGTTTGCCTCTTGTAGACTTATGTTCTGGATGTTCATCCTTTCAACCCCAGAATCGCAATGAGTGCTGGTTATGATGGGAAAACCATCCTGTGGGATGTAGGTTTCTGGTTCTTGTGTTTGATTGTATTACATCCTTTTACAGAAGTATTTCCGTTTGTTGAACTCTTGCTATATCTATTTCCAGATATGGGAGGGGATCCCCATCCGCACATATGATATAGGACGCTTTAAGTTGGTTGATGGAAAGTTTTCGCAGTAAGTATTTTAAAGAGTTGTTCGTAATTTTTCCTGCATCTCTGATATTTGGCTTGTAAAGTTTCTTTGCCTATGTATATGGTGATTCCTTAATGTGCTACTAATTTTAGACATCACGAGAGCTTTCTCCTTTGGGGCCATAAAAGAACGCCAATTTATCCTGGCTTCAGAATTAATAACTCATTCAGTTCCATTTCCGATTAGATTTGCTAACTTGTGCAAATGCTCTTTGCTTTATTTGAAATGCCTAAGTTACTGATTGTGCGGAGATCTGCTGTTTCTTTGTGAAAAGGGATGGAACATCAATTGTTCTTTCTGATGATGTTGGACAAATATATTTATTAAATACAGGCCAAGGCGAGTCTCAAAAGGACGCTAAATATGATCAGGTATATGAGGCGTTCTTTTTCATTCTCATCATAGTTTTAAGCATTTAACAGTTACTGTATGTTATCTTGAGGCTGTAACTTTTCAACAGTTCTTCCTTGGGGATTACCGACCCCTTATCCAGGATGCGCAGGGGAACACTCTTGATCAGGTACCTTTAGTTTAGACATGCTAGTTCACTCCTTTGATTCCTGAATTATGACATATTTTTCTTTCTTGTCCTTTGCCAAATTTCTTTCCTTAATGTCATTCTTTTCTCCACCCATCCTATTAGAACTAATATTACTTGACATTACTTAAAACTTGGTATGAAATCTTTTTAAATGACTAATCCAAGTTTGGACATTGGAAACCATTATTTTATACACTCTGTATTTAAATCCATTTAATTATCTTTCCAAACAATTTACAATTAATCTCTGTAGTCAATGTGGGTCATGTTTATAGTGACGAAGTGGGTAAAAGGTTTATTGTTTTACCATTTTTAAGTTCTGTCGTTTGATTTTACTACTTTAAGAGTTTTGGCGTAAGTTATCTGAGTAATACATGCATGATCTTATCTGTCAATGTGGGTCATGTTTATGGACGAAGTGAGTAAAAGGTTTATTGTTTTACCATTTTTAAGTTCTGCCATTTGATTTTACTACTTAAGGAGTTTTGGTGTCACTTATCTGAGTAACACATGCATGATCTAATCTGTCAGCTGAACCCTACAGCTGTTGCATCTTGTACAAGTTTGCTAAGTTTCCTGAAGTATTAACAGCAGGCATTTCTTCACCTGTTGCAGGAGACACAGCTAGCTCCATATCGGAGGAACATGCAAGATCTTCTTTGTGACGCAAGTAGATATTAATTGCTTTCATCATTTGATCTCATTTTTTTTAGTTTCAAGATGATGGTAATGAATGGCTTTTTTGTTTTGTTTCCCAATCATGAAATAATTGGAATACTAGGTATGCTTCCATATCCTGAACCATACCAGAGTATGTACCAGCGACGCCGCTTGGGAGCTCTGGGTACTGAGTGGCGTCCTCCTTCAATTAAATTTTCTGTTGGCACAGACGCTAATTTGAGCCTAGGATACCAAGTTTTTCCCGTGGCTGACTTGGACATAATAGCTGAACCTCTGCCAGAGTTTGTCGATACCCTTTTCTGGGAGCCAGATAATGGTATTCTAAATGATGAGACTGATTCAGAATACAATATGAATGAGGAGGTTTCTACTGAAGGAGAGCATGAATGTGTAAGAGACAGCTCTTCTAGCGCTTCAGTGTGTAGTGAAGAAGAGAAGATGAAACGGAGTCAGAAAGATAGCCTGCGCAGATCAAAAAGGAAAAAATCTGTATCAGAAGTAAGTGCCGACTTTCACAAACACAGAAAGAATACCTATTTATTTACCCTGGCTGAGCAACATTTGCATCTTTTTCAGGTGGAAGTCACATCATCTGGAAGACGTCTTAGGAAGAAAGTTAAGGATGAAGATGTTGGCACTTCATCTAGAAGTCTTAGAACTAGGAAATCAAGAAATGGGCAAAAAGCTACGGCTAAAGAGAAGTCAACTAAACTAAAGTCATTAAGACCTCAGCGAGGAGCTGCACATCCTGCTATTGTGCGTTATCATTCTGACAGCTCTTCAGATGAAGAAGATGAAGGTAGCTCTGAGGATGATTCATTGGAAACTGAGTCACCAGAATGTTGGTCAAGTGATCAGAGCATTGAATCTGATGACAAGCTGCTGAGCAAACAACGGAACTATTCAACAGGTGGATCTGTGGATGTACCTCCTAAATCCGCTGAACCTCAAACAAACGGTGAGAACAAAAGGAGATTAGTCCTGAAATTGAAAATTCGTGATGCTAAGAAGCTTGAGTTATCAAAAGACACTGCAACTCAGTGTGGTAACCAAGCTGATAAGTCGTGTTCTTCTCAAGCTAGTGAAGAGATAATTGAAGATAATCTGGTTAACCTTAGATTAAAGGAGCCAGGATCATACTCTGCAGATGAAATTGGCATGGAGCTGTCTGAGAAATACAATAAAACTGATATTATGGTTAATGACAAGGAACACAAAGGTGTTCTGTGTGAGCATGCCTATTTTTCTGCCGGTGTAGATATCCAAAGTCTGGCCCATAATTTAATGACTGAGGCTCAAACAAATCCGGGACAGTTTGAAGCTAGCAGATCGATGGCTGGAAATGATCCACGAGATGCAGCATGTTCCTCAGGAGGTGGTAAAAGTTCATTATTTCAGTTGTCATCGTCACCTAGTCATCAGCCACAGCAAATAAGCATCGGTCCGGGATCAAACAAGCTGACTACCACCAACGACAATCCTGAAGTAAACCCAAAACCTAGAGTGAAGACAACCATAATAAAGATAAAAGCAAAGAAAGTTTCCAGGGATTCTCAAGCTCATTCTGAATTTAATCTTCCTACAGATGCTTATTATGGAGATGAATCAACATCTAAAATCTTTTCCCATTTGGAACAAAACCAAGTTCCGGAAGTGCCAGAAACAGACAATGGCCATGGTAGATTCGATCAGAAATTGCATTGGGGTGTACTGACGGATGATACTGTTGACAGAAGCAAGTCTCATGGATCTAGAAGGCGTTTACTTCGCAGTCATGATATTTGTGGAAGTACTTCTGATGCTTGTATTGATCATGACGAATCAGGTTCTGAATTCCCTCATGCCGCTACTGATGCAGCACGTAGAAAGAGATCCTTAAGATTTACTGCAATGTCAAGAGATACAGCATTCAGGAAAGATGACGTAAAGATAAGAGAGAGCCATGTAGCTGTAGGTTCATCAAGAAATGCAGAAAAGCTGACCAAGAAGGCTACGGGTTTTCTGCCATTAGGAAGGACTTCAACTTATGTGTCCAGCCGGTCATCTACAGACAATAAAGAGCATTCTTCCAGGGCGGAAAATGTTTTATCAGCTGGAATGATCTTGAATAAGGAAGTAAAAAAAATGAATTGGCTGCTATTGTCAGAGCATGAAGAGGGTTACCGCTACATTCCTCAGATAGGCGATGAAGTAGTATACTTCCGACAGGTGCATTACATTATTTCTATTGGTTAATCGTAGCCTCTTCTTTCCTGTTTTTCCCATTTTGTTTTTAAGTGATAATGCCACTTGGTATTCCTTGAATTCAGGGGCATCAAGAATATATAGAATATAGTGATTCGTCGGAGCCTGGTCCTTGGACAAAGAATGCAGCTGTATTCCGAGCTGTGGAATTTTGCTTGGTTGAGAATCTTAATTACGCAACTCTTCCTGGCTCTGGTGAGAGTTGCTGTAAAGTTACACTTCAGTTCATAGATAGCACTTCCCCCGTCTTTGGACAGAAGTTTAAGCTAAAACTGCCTGAACTAGTTAACTTCCCTGACTTCATTATTGAGAGATCTCGGTATGAGACTGCAATGGAGAGAAATTGGTCATACAGAGACAAATGTCTGGTTTGGTGGAGGGATGAGAGTGATCAAGGTGGTAGGTGGTGGGAAGGTCGGGTAGTTTCTGTGAAAGCCAAATCTGACCAGTTTCCTGACAGTCCATGGGAAAGATGCGGTATCCTATACAAAGACGAATCAGAACCCCATCCTCATAGTCCTTGGGAACTACATGATATAGATAGTTCATGGGAGCAACCTCATATTGACTTGGAAAGCAAAAGCAGAGTTTTGTCTTCTGTCACCGAGCTACTGCAGTCTGCAAGCAGAAATCAGGTTTTAATCTTTTCAATTGTCTATGCCTTGAAGTAATTACTGAACTTTGTAGTTCATAGCATCAGAGCTGACCCTATTGTGTGCATGTTACAGGATTTCTTTGGGATTCTAAAATTGAAACAAGTTGCTGGGAAACTGGATTTTGTGAATAGGTACTCTTTTTACATTGTTTCTGTTGCTTTGTAGAAGTTGAAGAATTTCAATAAGAAACCCCATATCATCCTTCAGAAACTCCCCCCCCCCCCACACACACCGGGGACACATACAAAAAAAGGAGTAAAGTAGCCTCTTTTGAGCCTCTTTCGATACTGTATTCTCATTTAACTTTGCAGGGGTGTCTGTTCTTTCTTTTCATTTTTCTTTTTTCTTTTGGGGAGGAGGGGCGTGGGTTTTGCTATAGTTATTTTTTCAATCTTCGGACATATGTTTGTTGTTTGGCATACACAATTATTAATGGACCCAATGCGATAAATGATTTCCTTTTTGCAGGTTCCCTGTTCCTCTATCACCTGATATAATCCGGTTAAGGTTAGAGAACAACTATTATAGAAGCTTGGAAGCAATGAAGCATGATTTCTCTGTGATGCTAGCAAATGGTGAGGCTTACTTTGCCAAAAATAGAGAGCTTTCAGTGAAAATGAAGCGTCTTTCAGATTGGTTTAGTGAGACATTGTCAGATTTGTGAGGTCATGCTTTCTCTTGGCTTGTTATTTTTCCTCCCTTTCATCCAACTGCCCGGAGATCCAATTTTGTGGAAAGGATCTTCTGTACCTATACTCTAGATATGTTGGCCTAGAGTGGTCTGTTGTATGATTGAGGTTTAAATGGAGTTGCTTTAACATGATAGTATATGGTGGGTTTGGAGTACAATTTGCACTAGTTTAAACAATCCGAACATTTTTTTATTTGCTACCTGGCCAGAGCTTGATGTAGTTATGTTTCTTCTTGAGAATGTCACAATAGCCAAAGTTTCTTACGTTTATATATAGTCCGTTGTTGTTCGAATGTTCGAACTTCATAAGGGAAAGGAAATTGAATGTAAGTAGTCGACTTTCTTCTATATATAAGCAACCAGTCCTTCCAGAAAATGTCTATAAAATCAGATATGCTTAATGGTATGTTATTTTATCTGATTAAAATCGTATATCATATTATTGAAGTCTAAGATCACTTGGGAAAACACTAGTAAAATTTAAGTTAGCCTCTTCGATATATAATGAATTTTCCTATCATGTTGCTGGTTATTCATAAAATAAAATTAATTGTTGGTCAATGTTTGTGGATATTGACACTAAACAAGTTCCTTCTCAGCTCGTTAAACTTGTAGTCTACCGTTATTTCTCATCAATATCAACTAACTATATAAAAGGGTAGAACTAAACAACAATTTCGAACTCTTCTACGTAACATGCCAAAATGGACGTTCAAATCGAGACAGAGGATCAACCTAACTCCCAGTCCTTACTTTTCGTCCATCTTCATTCAGTCCGTAACATTAGCATATCAAACTAGGAGATTTTAAGTAGAGCTAACTAGCTAAGAAGCACTTTTCAATTTAATAAACAGAAAAGAAACCTTTCCGCTTTCAGCTTTTCATTTACCAGCTAAGAAATAATAGTGATTACAATGATTATGATATGGAGCTAATGAAACGCATTCAAGATTGTGGTTTTGCAGTCCAATAAAGTGGGTGAAAAAATAACATCATAAGAGAGTTTAAATTTTATTAGAAACAAAAACATTAAGGGGTCGTTTGGTTCATATGCTAGCTATGGCAATTATATTGAGATTGTTTTTGCAGAGATTAATAACAAAGAGATTGTTAAGCAGTGATTGAGATTGAGATGAGATTATTATACATGAATTATTTACTTTAAAAGAACATTTTCGTCTTTGAATAGCTTTATCGCATCATTGGTTATACATGTATTCTGGGTACACATTATATCCTACATAAAATAATACATAAATTCACGCATAATTTAATGCAAGTATTATCTAATACTAGTAACCAAACATTGCATTAGTTATGCAATTATTACTCTTTTCTTTCAAGTTTACTTGTCCACTATCGACTTGGTGAACACCTTAAGAAACAATAAATAATATAGTAATTTTACTATATCACTCCTATTTATTATATATTTAAAAATAAGTAGCACTTAATAACAAGGGTAGAATAAGTATAAAATGATGAACTATCTATTGATTTTTTCAAATTGGACAAGTAAAAGAGAACTCTTATTTTTAGTATAGTGAACTAGTAAACTTGGACGGAAGGAGTATTTTGTAATATGTGTCCAATAGGAAATGGAACTTGCGACCTTCAGTCACTTTTGACACCCCTTGACCGTTGCACTAGGAGATTGTCTTGTGTCAAGGGTTGTCAACCCCTTGTATATATTCAATTTTTTTTAAAAAATACTTATCTACACAGTGTTATTTTCTGTCGAACAAGGGTAGCTCCGCCCCTGTGTCCAATATTGTATCTTATGCGGGATTTTATGTTGTAATTAACTATTTCAAATCATTACCAAACAACCCCTAATGTGTGACCTTTTAACTTACTGTTGCTATAGTGACATTGCAGGTGGGGAGCAGTATCAGAAAAATAAATAAAATAAAAATATGCAGCGCAATAATAGAGTTGCAATCGCCAGTGAACCAGTAGGAAGAAGGGCTTAGAGGAGGCTTCCCGCCACTCAACGTTCATTGTTCCCGCCATTTGCCAGAACCACTATATATATATATATATATATTTATATATACAGTCTCCGCTTCCACAGAGTTCATTCTTCTCATTCACTCCCACATATATTCTCCGTCCCGCTCACACTATTTGCTACTGGTCACCATTCTCTTCTCCATTTACAGTCGCCTCAAATGGGTTCTTCTCGCCGCTCCAGCAATGGCAGATCTCCGATCGTCAATCAACAGAGTCAAATCACTTCTTTCTTCTCTAAAATGACTTCGCCCTCACCTTCTCCTTCCCCATCACCTCTTGTCCCTAAAAAAATTCCAGTCAAATCTAACCCTAACCCTAACCCTAATGCTGAGCCTAAACTTAAATATAGTCCTAGTACCAGTCCTTGTGCTAGTCCTACGACACCTTCGCCTCTACAGGTGAAGCGGAAGATAACTGCACCTATTTCTGCCATTATTGACCTTAAGCCGTCGTACGGGCAAGAGATAGTGGGCAAAAGAGTTAAGGTCTACTGGCCATTGGATAGAACTTGGTACGAAGGCTGTGTAAAGTCTTTCGACGGTGTTTCTGGTGAACATTTGGTTAAGTACGACGATGGTGATGAGGAAATGATTGATTTAGCTGAAGAAAAGATCGAATTGGTAGTCGAGGCACCTGCGAGAAAGTTGAGGCGGTTGCGGAAATCTTTGGTGGTGGAAGAAGCTGAGGAGGAGGAGGAGGAAGAGAAATTGGAGGATTTGGAGAGCGTTGAAGATGATTCTGAGGATGAAGATTGGGGAAAAATTGCGGATAAACAAGTGTATGAAGACGAGGATGTTGATGAGGATATGGACTTGGTGGTTGAGGAAGAGAAAGATGATGCTGTTGGATCGAGAAGCAGGAAAGCGGGTGCGGATAAGGTGGTGGTGTCGAGGAAGCGGAAGAGTGGTGAAGGGGTGAAGTTAAGTTCGAGTTCGAGCAAGAAGAGTAAGACTCTTGCAGATAAGAAGAGTGCTAATAGCAAGGTGGACAATGCAGTGAATGGAGTAAATGGGAAAGAGCTTGTTAAAACCAATGAGGATTGTAAGTGATTGAACCTGCATTTTTTGCGTTCCTCTTGAGTTCAGTTTACTTGTTGAATGCTTCATAATATTTGGTGGTTGTGACGTTGTACTATGATAATCACTGTCATAAAGGTATTCGCTCCCTATATTATGGTTGACCTGCTATGGGTATATATCTTATCCATAACATGAGCATATTAAACCATGAATATTGTTGTCCCCAAGTATGTATGGCTTATTGTGACTCTTTGAACTTGTATTGAAGAAAAAGAACTGTTTGCTGATCTTACTTAATATGGTCGTTTCTGCAAGGGAAATGTAAAATGGTTGGAGCAAGGACCTGACAGGAAAGATCGGAAATGAAGGAAAAATTTCTACTTGTAGAAAAAAAAGAATGAAAAATCTGGACTACATTTTGATGGTTGGATCCAAATGAAAATGTAGACTTGTAGTAAGTTATCTGAAGTTGCCTAATTCGGCAATAGCATTAGATTTGCAGTTTGTTACTGTGTTAATTTAAAATTTATTCCATAGGTGGTAGAATTGACGAGAAAAAATTAAGGCTTAAATGTAATATGGAATAAAATTGTGGCAGCTCTGTTGCCTTGCAGGTGTCAGGCCAACCAACAATGATAACGTACTGCTGTGCGGTGCAGCAGATAGATTCGGACAACGTGAAGCAGAGAAATTCCCTTTTGTTGCGAAGTAAGTTCTTCTTGCAATATCTGCTGCAGTTCACTATTTGTTTTGTTTTATTTGATCTAGGTGGAGACTAGTGATGTTTTACCATTTTGCTTGTTATGGCCTTTTTCTGAATTTACCTTGTGTGCCGAAACAGAGATAGGAAGGACGCTAATAGGAGATCCCCTGGAGATGCCAATTATGATCCAAAGACTCTTTACCTACCTCCTAATTTTTTGAAAGGTTTAACTGGTGGTCAGGTAATTGGATTCTCCTGGGTTGATATCTTTGGAGTTCTTTTCCCTTTCAGAATGAGTATTTAAATGGTGTAAATGATGCGCAGAGACAATGGTGGGAGTTCAAGTCGAAGCACATGGATAAAGTTCTGTTTTTTAAGGTAATGATGGTGACATCATATTGATGGCTCAATATTTTTGCCAATGAAGTTGCTGTGTGGCCTTCTCATTTCATCTTCTTTAGTTTGCCCTCTATGTGATGAATTTTAATTATCCCATGATTTGTGAATCAGATGGGAAAGTTCTATGAGCTTTATGAGATGGATGCACATATTGGAACCAAGGAACTTCATTTGCAGTACATGAAGGTAACTTGAGCCTATGCCCCCAGAAATAGAAAAATGAAAGAAAAAAAGATAAAAAACAATTTGGTCGTCACCATGTGTAGATATGCCTAAAAGAGAAAATATGGTCCCAACATCATCTTTTACTTTTCACTTATGCTTTTCCCTGTTCAGAAAGTGAGTGTTTTATGCTCTGTATCACGGTTTGATTAAATTGCATGTTTCTGTTTTAAGGTAGTACCTTTTCTTCCTTTGCAATGGGATGTTTTAGTTTCATTCTTCAGTTCCTGTGCATCTGTGCTGACTGTTGCCTGTATCTTCAGGGAGAACAACCCCATTGTGGATTTCCAGAAAAGAACTTCTCAATGAATGTAGAGAAGTTGGCGCGAAAGGTCGTAATTGCTAATTGCACAATGCTCAGTGTTGGCTTTATGGTTCAAATGTTAGCTAGACTGCCTGGTCTTTTCATGGCAGGGTTCTTATTGTGAGTTGCTTTGATGGAGCAGGGTTATAGGGTTCTTGTGGTTGAGCAAACAGAGACACCTGAACAGCTTGAGACTCGTCGAAGAGAGAAGGGATCTAAAGATAAGGTCATCAGTAATGCTACATAAGATTGTCGCAGTCATAGTGATGACAATTTTACTTTCTTCAATTCTTTCTGTAGCTAACACATCATACTGTATCCCAGGTCGTCAGACGTGAAATATGTGCAGTGGTCACTAAAGGAACATTAACTGAGGGAGAAATGCTCGCAGCAAACCCTGATGCTTCATATATGATGGCAGTGACTGAAAGCTCTCAAACTGCTGTATTGCAAGGGAAGCGTACTTATGGTGTCTGTATGGTGGATATCACCACAAGCAAGGTTATTATTGGACAGGTACTGGGCAATTGCTTATGAATTTCTGTAGTTTCTTGGTAAAAAGTTTTATGCCATTTTGTTCCTAGTCATGTGTAGTGTGTTTGCTGTCAAT